TAGAAAATTTATGTATTTTGAATTATAAATTTGAAAGAAAATAAATATTATTAAATAAAGAAGAATATTTATCCATAATTTTATGTGAATATAACAACATTCTATATCACATATTTAAATTCAATTACAAGGGGATAAAGAGTGATATATGATTTTTAACCAACTCTGATTTTTAAACGTGAGTGATTGAGTCTCTCGTTTTGTCGTTTATATCGGACAGATCTAAAGGATAATAAAAAAAAGTATTAAAGAATATTTCCTTATGTAAGGCCATACATCTTGTTTCAAGGACCATTTTGGAAATTGTTTGTTGTTACATAAATATAGTATGGTAAAACTCACACAGGCTGTACCTAAAAGAAAAAGAATGGATTTTCTTGAAAAACCAGAGATCGAGAAAAAAAACTTTAAAAAATAATGCATTATGCTGAAATGTTAATAATACTCAATTTAGAGGATTCTGCGCTCAGTAAATTAGTAGTGGTTAACGAAAACTATGATGTAAGGGAGTAGGTTGGTACATCTAAAGAATCCTTTTATTTTCATTTTTAACCCTCATCTGAGAAGCAAAAGGACTGTAATAAATTATGTGATAATTAGTTTTTATTTAATTGTTAAATTTTTATTCATTTTAAAGATTGTTTACTAAAGTTTGTTTTTTTATTATATTATTATTGCTATTTTTTATATTTTATTTAGCATAAAGAAGGACCGAAACTGGTACCAAGAAAGAATAAACAATTATATACAGGAAGGCAATGCCTTTTTATTTAATTATATTTCTCTTCTTCCACTAACATTAAGATTCAATTCAAGAAAAAAAAAACTACAATCATAAGGACGTTATATTACCTACGCCAATGAAACAAAAAACTTCACAACTAATGAAAATATAAGAAGACATTTATTTAATTAGTTAGTCACTTTAAACTTAAAACTACAATTGAAAAGTATTGATTCTTGATAACATTTTGATTCCTTTTCTTTTTTCCTTGCAACTTATGATTTTGCCTTTATAACTTCTTAAATATACTGTATAAGTTCAGGAGTTTTCTATTAGCCCTTGTGGGATCAAGATATGAGAACATGGACCTAATTAGATGATTTTTGATGATATATTAACAAGTCCGTATTAGTGCAATAAATTTAATTAATTGCCAGAAACAATTAAATTTTTTTAATTTTTACTCCTTTTATTCCGTTTTCAAGACGAGCTAAATTGTAAACTAACGAAGCAAAATGGTGGTAATGTGTTTGGGTCATCCACTAATATCTTTATAACGCTGTTTTTGAGTGAAAGGTTGGAACAATTTTTACGTTTGATGGCTCAATCTACTGAGCAACTGTATTTAAATAATCCGCTAAAATAAAAAAAAAAAAACTGTCGTAGTTAGGGGCCTAACACACCCCCAACGAAACTCAAGACTCTTTAGGATGTTGACATGCAGTGATACACGGAACAAAATCTATTTGCTAAGAGCTATAATCTGTGGTGAAAGGCAACCGACTATTGCAGCAAGTTTAAAAGTATGTAGATGTCAATTTCCCTATCAATTTACATTTCCTTTGGATGGATAAAATTTCCCAATTTCTATAGTAATTTTTTTTTAAGGTAATACGCGAATAAAACTTTATGATTTGGAGCATATAAAATGTTTTAACCTCAGTCATAAATGCAAAGCTTCCCTTATGAAAAAGCAGTTTTAACTATTCTTATTTTTAATAATTTACTTATATTTCTTGTTGATTATATTGAACAATTTAACTTATTTAAAAATGTATAAACTATTCTTATATATAAACAGCTTAGGGAAAACGTTAAATAACTGATTAAAACATTTTAAAAATAAATAGACATGCACAACGTGTCAGCGTCATTTAGGTCACATTTTCCTCTATTTTTTTTTATGAAAATACAGTGACAGGCAAAAAATTCTACCCACTTGTAAAAAAAGTTGTATTTGTATATAATACATGGTATTTGTAGATAATACTTAGTATTTATGGAATTTTATAATCTTTTTTACCTTTAATAATCAAAATGTGATTGGGTAAGAAAGATTAGAGAAAAAAAAATTGAAAAACAAACCATTATTATTCTAAAAGAAATTAATTACATCATCGTTTAGTAGCGCGTGTTTCCTCCTCTTGCCTTCACTACTTCTTGAAGACGCCTCGGCATACTTTCCACCAGTTGGGAAATGTCCATTTGCTGGAGAATAGCCCATTCCTCTCGAAGAGCCCTTTCAAGGTCCTGCAGTGTATCAGGAAGTGTTGCATGCGCTCTTATTCGTCTTCCGAGGTTATCCCATAAAAGCTAAATGGGGTTCAAATCTGGAGAACGTGCTGGCCAGGCTAAAACCTCAATATTGTTCTGTTGAAGGAACGTCTGCACTATGCGGGCGACATGTGGGCGTGCATTATCGTGCATTAGAATAGAATGATTGCCGATTTCGTTGAGGATAGGCAAAACATGAGGTTCAAAAATCTCATCTACATAGCGAATGGCCATCAAAGACCCTCCAGGAACAACAACCAATTCTGTGCGGCGCTCCATTGAAATCCCAGCCCACACCATTAAGGAACCACGTTGAAAGGTTGGCTCTGGGAAATATTACAGGCTGCATATCTTTCGTTTCTTCTTCTCCACACCCTTTCACGCCCGTCTGGAGTTCGAAGAGCGAATCATGACTCATCTGTAAAAAGTACTGCACTCCATTTGTCCATAGTCCAATGGCTGTATTCTCGAGCAAAAGTCAGCCGTGTTACTTTGTGAGTTCTGGTCCTCTTACTGGACGAAAAGCCATTAATCCATACTCATTTAATCCTCTCCGAGCGGTAAGTTCAGAAATTTGCACACCTTTAACTTCTTCGAGCTGATGAATCGCTTGAAAAACGGTAAGGTGCCGGTTTTATAAAATTCTCAAAGTCAAAATCCGGTCATCCCGTGGTTCTGTTACCCTAGGCCGTCCAGAACCGGGCCTTCTATTGTAAGAACCAGTTTCCCGAAAACGCCTGACCGCGTCTCGTAAAGTTTCATATGGAACTCCGATGGCATTACCTGCATATCTAATGGAACGTCCATCATCAATAAGTGCCACACCGCGTGCAACATCCTCAGCACTAAGAGGCATTTTTAAACTTAATATTGAAAAAAATTAAAAGCCAGAGACTAAGAAATGTGCTGCAAGAAACGGCACTGAACTAATGATACTGAATAAACATTTTGATTCCATAGAAAGTAAACATTAGGAATCTAGAATCATTTCATTGAATTAAGGATTAAGGGTTATTGTCCTCTATATTAACATTCCTAATTGAAAACAAACAAACAGATTACCTATTTATTCATTAAAAACAATAGACCAATCCAAAGCAGAAATATTTTTAGATGAAGACATGAAAAAATCAAGTGGGTGGAATTTTTTGCATGTCAGTGTAGGTGCCTAAATACTTCTTGGGGATTTAAATATAATTTTTAAATCATTTAAGCTGCTGAATATCTTTTTTATGTTTTGTTTTTGAACATTTTATGATTTAGTTCTGAATTAAATTTATAGAAATGTCAGGATGTAGAGGGAGGGTTTGTGGAAGAAAAAGTTGAGAGTTTAGAAGGAACTTTTCTCACATAAATTCAAGTTACAAATTTCTAACACCATACTTTAATTTAGAGGGGCCATGGAAATGTGCAAAGCATTTAAAAGTGATAAAATAGTTAGTGTCAAAATGCACTTCTCAAACTCCAACTCAATTTAAATATAGGGTGGGGTAGCTGAGCGATCTAAAGCTTGTACAAAACACGTGTAGCCCGGCAACATGGTAAACAGAAGTTTTCAAGATATAATAATTACGAGTTCCCGTCCCGGTGCCTTAGGGACTTTAAACGCTGACATTAATCCTCTGCCCTCCTCGGGGAAGAAAGTAAAAAAAAATCTTGATTTATATACAAAACCTATTTGATATAAAGTGACTCTCTTTAAAAAAATAATAATCATAAATTTATATATTATACGTTTTCAGAACTCCCATATATATGTGCATACCATTACTCGAATATACTTTTCATAAAATAAAATAAAAAGTGTAACATCAGTATAGGTTTCGATAAGAGCTTGCGTGACACTATAGGCAGCTGTACTCATTATTGTTTATAGGCTTTGGTTCAGCCGATTCTCGGTTTCAAAAATGCTTTAGAACTGGTCAAAAAAGGTTGTATGGAACCACTTTTGATAGGAAATCGAATCTTTTGGTATTGATTTCGGGAAGATCTAAATGGTTTTGAAACAAATACATTTAAGTTTATGAAAATAAATATTTAACACTCATAAAAAAAAAAAAAATAATAAATCGATTTAATCTATTTTGAAACCAAACGCCTCATGTGAAACAGTAGTATTTATGGATAAAAAACTAGAAAAACTAAGAGAAAACGAAAAAAAGGGTGAAAATCTAAAAAAATGGGAATTTTTCGGATGAAATTTGCTGGACATCCTGGTGTACCCATATAGTAAGCCAAAAGAACATTCAAGCATCTACAATCTACTAGAATAGAGATGATATCATGTGCATATGTTAAGGTTTAAAAGCCTACTGCATTAAAAGCATGCTGGTCTATGGTCTAAAGTCTTTAAGATATTCTTCAGCTTCAGAGAAAGAACTGAGTTCTATTAGTTCAATTAGGTATGTTTGGATGATTAGTAAACTCTTAGTAAGGCAATTATTTCTGAAAGATTCGATCACACCTATGTTTTTGAGTTTTGAATTGAGCTAATAATTTGTGAACACTGAGTTATTCAGGAACTTAACTTCGATGGCTGCCTCAATAATTGATACAGGACAATTCCCATGTTTTTATGTTTGAATTAGTTTTTATGGGCGTTTTTTATTACTTTATTAATGCATGTTAGGAAGACAGATGATATTTGTAATTAGCTTAGTTATAATACTCTTGAAAATAAAAATTATAATCATATAACTGTTTCAATTTTTTTCTTTCATAGGTATGATCAAGAAAATTCTCTTCATATGCAATGGCTTAATGCTGCTCAAAATTCTTTTAAAAATTCTTTGCTCCAACTTATTGATGTAAGCAATAAAAAATCCACCCAAAAATCATCTGACCATACAAAGGTACTGATTTTTTTATTATTACAGCATGACAATATGCATGTGGATCTTGGGTCTTTCCTGAGCAATTCTGTCATTATCTGTTATCATCCAGTAGTTCTTCTCAGTTTTTTAACATAATCTGTGACAATAACAAACTTTATCTGTTCACTGCTTAACTTGTTAGCTGCGTTTACTGTCCCCGGGGTTCGATATCCGTCTGGACTGCCAAATGGCCAGGATTTTTTAAAATTTTTCTATTTTATGAAGTCTCTATAATGGTCATTTTCAAAAATATTGTAATGGGAGTTGGGTAGGTGTAAAGATACAAACGTAAATAAACATTATATGTGATATAAATATGTAGGAAGCCGGGGACCGATACCATACCAGACTGATAAAAAATGATTTTCTTATGGTATCAGCCACCGGCATCCGATACATATTCATGATGGGACAGGACAGTGCACATGCATGGTGATTGAGATAATGTTTGGAACATCAAATCTTGGATCATCTTTAACATGAAAAAAAAAACATTTCAATAACAAAGTTCCGATTGGTTTTCGCTTATAAACTTGCAACTCAGCGCTGACCACCGTCACCACGTCCGTTGCATCGTGTTCATTCTTCAGGTGAGAGAAGAAACAGCAAAAGCAGTGCAGAGAATGCTACAAAGAATTGAGAAAGGCCATAGGAAGTAAGAAGTCAAATAAGAAAACACGGAAAGTCACTAGCTTCTGTGAGGACTGTGTTGGTATCACAAGCAGTCAGCAACTTAATGCTTCACTTTCAGTTTTCCTTTTCTTAAAATAAATTCCTATGTAATAGTGAATACCCAAATACGTATATTTTTCTTATATTGCCATAATATGGTACTTAGTATGTAACTTCGATTTTTTATATATCATTTTTATCTTGATATTGAAAAAGTATTACACAAATAATGTACAAACTATATCATGAAAATTATAAATATATGTAATAAATAAACTTTTTCACATTTAATTTTCAATATTTAAGATTTATATCCCCAAAAATAACACTTTTTTACTGAAATAAAGAGAAATAATAAAAAACTCATCATATAAACGATGTCCACTCTTACGATTGCTGGTTGACATGAAGACACAATCAACAAATAGAAACACTGAATAGGGAATTCAGTTCACATTTTTTGTTAAAAGATAGTGGTATACCTCGAAACTGATGTATGTCTCCAATGTCCGATGCCTTTAGGAACTTCATAACTAGTGTCGGTCTCCGGGGTCTGATATCGTCGGGAAAGACATTTAAGAGATATCATACTCAGCAGCTAACGTGTTAATGTTGGTGCTAGGTTTCTGATATTAGCTCTCTATAAATCACATAATTCATTTGTGGTGCTAAAACTAATGTAAAGTCAGAGCCTCCTGCAGCTTTAACCGCCAGTCATTTCTAATAAATGCAGCTTCCTTCCAATCTTGGACACCAAGAATAAATCATATACTGGAGACTTTAACTTGCCCAGAAAATTTTACTTAGTTGGATCACTATTGTAATGACAATACTATTGACCAGAACTTTAATTTCATTTCTTATTTTTTTGCCTTCTGCTTTTGGTGTGATCCAAATTTCCAAACCTTCTTCTTCTTCTTTATCTTCCTCTTCGTGTCATTACTAGCGTCGAGGAGCCTCAATCCAATGTAGCCATGCCTCTCGGTCCCTACTAAGCTGCCTTATTTCCTGGAGGGTTTTGCCTCTCTTCTCTCCAATCCGCTGCATACACTCCTGATAGGAAATTCTGGGGCGGCCCCTCGGCCTCCTCTCAGTGGGTCGAGCTTCCAGAATCTTCCGCGGATCTCTCTCCTCCTCCATCCGACAAACGTGGCCAAACCACTTCAACTGTCGGTTTTCCAATAAAGTCCTTAGCTCCGCCACCTCCAGGTCCTCTCTTATAAGTTCATTTCTGAGGCAGTCTCTCCTGGTCTTTCCAGCAGCTCTCCGCAGAAACTTCATCTCGGCTGCTGTCACACGACTAACCTGCTTGTCCAGCATGATCCAGCTTTCGCTTTCGTGAGGGTTGGGAAGTATACCAACTTGTATATGTGCCTTTTTGTTTCCTTGCCAACTTACCTGTGCCCTACTATAGTGTTGCTGATAGGGTAATATACCTGATTGGCTTTGGATATCCTATTCGCTACTTCTGGGTCAATCTTCCCCTTGTTGCGGATAATTGTACCCAAATAGGTGAATTCTTGCACAACTTCAATTATCTGCCTGTTACAGGTTAGCTGGACGTCTTCTTGTTCCTCTTTTGATATGACTAGGACTTTTTTTTTTTGGAGCTATTGTTAATCATACCTTTGCGGAGGAGCTCTTCCTGCCATCAAAAGGCATGGGACAGAGACAAAAATATATTTAGCATTTCCAAGTCAATTTCAACCTTTTCCAAATCAAATTCAACCTTTTCCAAGTCAAATTAAACCTTTTCCAAGTCAAATTAAACCTTTTCCATTTCAAATTCAACCTTTTCCAATTCAAATTCAACCGTTTTCATTTCTAATTAATGTTTTAATTTTTTGTAAATTTTATATTTTCTTTTTTAAATAATGGCCATCTCCTTCCCCCCTCCAATATGAAAGTCTATTATTATGCTCTCCTAAGTAGAATTTTCACTTACGGATATCGATTTATTGTACCTATTCGGATTTATTAGGGACTAGTATTATGCTGTCCTGTACCTAGTTTTGAAAATAACCTCCATTTTAAGATTACGTGACTGCGTTTCGAATCATTTAAGTTTTTTTGACTTATTCGATATAAGGGTGTATTTTTATGTTTCCCGATCAGTAAATTTTGAAAATGCCATCCATTTTATGTTTACGCCACTGAGTTTTGACTTATTTAAGTTTTTAGAATTTATCCAATATAAAGGTCTACTTTTATGTTTCCGAAGCCGTAGATTTTGAAAACGACCTCCATTTTAAGAATAGGCCACCGCGTTTCGACTTATTTGAGTTTTTCGGATTTTTTTCATATGAGGGTGTATTCTTATGTTTCCGGAGCCGTAGATTTTGAAAACGACCTCCATTTTAAGATTAGGCCACCGCGTTTCGATTACTTTGAGTTTTTCGGATTTTTTTTATATGAGGATGTATTCTTATGTTTCCGGAGCCGTAGATTTTGAAAACGACCTCCATTTTAAGATTAGGCCACCGCATTTCGATTTCTTTAAGTGTTTCGAATTTTTATCATAAAATAGTGTATTCTTATGTTTCCGGAGTCGTAGATTTTGAAAATGACCTCCATTTTAAGATTACGCCACTGCGTTTCGGCTTATTCAAGTTTTTCGATTTTATCCAATTTAAAGGTCTACTTTTATGATGCCGGAGCCTTAGTTTTTAAAATGACTTACATTTTAAGATTAGGCCACTGTGTTTCGTTTTTTTTAAGTGTTTTGATTTTTCCTTCGAACAAAAACCAAAATACGAAGGATTAATTTATTTTTCAATAAATTAATAAAGTGGTTAGCACCCTATACTAGTAAAGTAAAGATCATAGGATCGAATCCTGGCCCTACTTCCCAATACGGCTGGTCCCCGCGGGAAGTTAGACCATTACCCTATTAATTGGGGAGGCCTACAGGTGTAATACTTGTAAAAACAGGCTATACAAAAAAAATTAATAAAAATATCTAATCAAAATAAATAAAATATGTATTGTCTCATTTTTAATTTAATTTTAGTTATCTTTTTTATTGTTGTGGTCTCCTGTCACAAAATTATAAGATTTCTAACAATTAGCTGAAAAATCTGAATACGGTAGGTTAAATTTATTACCAGTTGCTTTTCTGCTTTTTAGTTTGTATTCTGTGGTTAATTTAACTTTAGCTCAGTAATATTTATTTATTTATTCATACTCGAAAACATATTGATGAAACTTTGTATTGAAAAAATCCAAAATGAAGCCTAATTAATCGAGATGCAGCGGCTTAATCATAAAATGGAGCTTAAATATTAGTTAAATTTAAATATGAAAGATTAGAAAAATATCAATAAGTCTCCGATAGCATATAAGTAGATCCTTATACCGAAAAAGTAAAAAAAAAAACTTTTATAATCCAAAACACAGTGGCATAAACTTGAAATTGGGTCATTTACAAAATGGGGGAAATCTACTGCTCCACAAACATAAAATTAGACCTTTATACTTGTTAAATTTCAAAAACTTAAATAAGTTGAAACGCAATGGCGTAATCATAAAATAGAAGTCATTTTCAGAATCTACGGTTCCGAAAACATAAAAGTAGACCTTTAAATTGGATAAATTCGAAATACTTAAATAAGTCAAAATGCAATGGCGTAATCATGAAATGGAGGTCATTTTAAAAATCTACGGCTCAAGAAACATAAAAGTAGACCTTTATATTGGATAAATTCTAAAAACTTAAATAAGTCAAAACACAGTGGCGTAAACATAAAATGGATGGCATTTTCAAAATTTACTGATCGGGAAACATAAAAATACACCCTTATATCGAATAAGTCAAAAAAACTTAAATGATTCGAAACGCAGTCACGTAATCTTAAAATGGATATCTACCACACATCGAAAAATTATAGATAATTAAATAAATAAAAAAAGGTTGAATTTGAAATGGAAAAGGTTTAATTTGAAATGGAAAAGGTTGAATTTGTCTTGGAAAAAGTTTAATTTGATTTGGAAAAGGTTGAATTTGACTTGGAAAAGGTTGAAATTGACTTGGAAATGCTATATATATATATATATATATATGGCATTTCTGGACCTCAAAGCAGCATTTGACTCTGTTCCAAGAAAAGAAATATGAGATGCTTTGGCGGCGAAAAATGTTCCAGTTGATCTTATCACGGCAATTAGATCAGCATATAAGGCAGCAAAAGGAATGGTAAGGATTAATGGTAGAGAGTCCAAGCCTTTTCCCACGGAGAAAGGAGTCAGACAGGGAGACAGCCTAAGGCCCCTCTTGTTCATCATATTTATGGATGAAATCCATAAAATTTGTAAGCATCGTACTGCTTGGATGGTCGTCGGAAAATGGAACCTGCGGAATATTATGGTCCAAAGCCTACTATATGCCGATGACATCGTTCTGATTGTGGACACGAAAGACAAGCTGCAGCAGGCCCTTATAGAAATTTCCAAACCATGTGTGGGTAATTGGACAGATAATTGTTTTTATAAATGTTATCTTTGTTAACCGTGAGATTAGTTTTTTTGGTAGGAGATTTTTCATTTGGAAGTAACAATTATTGACTATTTGACTATCAACAATCATCTTATACATATGAAAATCTCCATGTCATATGTAAGATTTTTCATATTGGTAGCTAAACTGTATTTATAATCAATCTTTATGAACAATTTTTTTTTCTACAAGTCCTAATATTTCCTGAGCAATGATTGTTTCGCATGATACCTATTTGACCCACTACACCATTAACTTGACTATAATCTAGATTATTATCTGCATGTATCTGTTGTATTTTATCATCAATAAAGATTGAGAGAATCTTGAATAAGATACATACTCAAGATTCATATCATCCTCTGCAATTTTTTTTTTTACTTAACCTGTCTAGCCTTTGTAGAAAATTACTTTTCCTCTACCAGTCACTTTATGTCCCAAATAATGTTTAAAACATTGCTTTATTATTATTTTTTGTTTTTCAATGGCACTACAGCTCGATATGGACCTTGGCTCCTCAATGAACCTTAGCCAGGTGGCTTGATCTTGTGCAGCCGCTCTCCAATCCTAAAAGGGCTTGAGCATCCTTCATGACTGCATCTTCTCACGTCAGTCTTGCTCTTCCTCTTCCTCTCAACTGGAAGAAACGTTATAAATTTTTATAATAATCACACAAAGATCAAGACAACTACAATTCACAATTTTTTCAAAAAATCAATTAGAAGGTTTATTTAACTGATATGTGCCTGAACTACATTTTAAATAGGTGTCCTAGCCCTCAGGAGATGACCGATATTTAATGAATACATTTGTTTTTGCTTATATAGTTGTTACTTTCATGGATTAAATGAAAAAACTCATTGAATCTGTCCTAGCCCTTGTATTTAAGCATTATTTTTATTTTACTATTAATTTTAATTGTTATTTTAATCTAGATTAATCATTCGTAATCAATTTCAGGAAGAAGAATATGTACCCTTTGACAAAAACTATGAATCGTTGCCTAGCAGTAATTCTGTAAAAAAGTATGTTATTGATAATCTAGCTAAAGTAATGACATCTTGTGTCGTTATTAGAGTTGAGGATTTTACAATGTATAAAGTTACTACAGTTACAAAACAAACTCCTAAGGAATTCATCAAAGGTAATTGATATTTTTTTAGTATTAATATATAATGTAGATTATAGACTTAATGTAGTTTAGTTGCTTAAAAGCCCTCATAAAATAGTTTTGACAAAGGCAAATTCTACTTATATTTGAAGAAAATTGTGTATAGTTTATGATATTGAAATTGTTAATTAACTAAAGTAAATACACTGATGTACAAAGTTAATGCACCACCTAAATTTCTTCAAAAATATCCACTTTATTAGAAACAAAAAATTACATTTTGTAAAGTTGGCAAAGGTTATTTCCACCCTTGGTATGATCATATCCCTTAAATGTCTTTCCACTGATTTGAAAAGATTTTCAATAAATTCCTGAGTAATGAAATGAAATGAAATGAAAATTTTTTTTTTATTATCCTGGGACTGTTGTCCCTTTAGGACAAATTACAAATACCGAATAAATGCCTATGTGGCCATACATAAAATTAATTATTTACTATTCTTATTAAGATTAAGACTTTGGAAAAAGAATATAACAAAAAATAAAACAATTACACTAAAAACATACTGATCTGTATAATACGTGGGAAAATAAAATAGCATAAGTAAAGAAAATCATTTCTGGTGGAACTTTAAAAAGTTTTCTTATCTAAATTTCATGATCAATCGGGTTGGGAAAGGAGTAGGTGGTTAAAAAGGAGAGATTTAAATGAGGAAGCTGATTGTACATGTTGGGTATCGGGAGGGATGGTATTCTAGAAGGAGACGGCTTGAATTATAAAGGATTTGTCAAACGCTGCAGTTCGGTGGGGAGGTGGATAGAGGTCGGAAGCACGAGATCTAGTGGGACAGGATTGAATGGAATATTTGAATTATAGGCTGTGAAAATTATAGGAAGGCCGCTGGGTTCTGATGACTTGGTATAGAAAGGTAGCAAGGAAGTACAGACAATGGTTGGATGGATAGAGCCTCTTCAACTTGGTGTAATACTGGGTTATATGTGTATCCCTTGAGATTCCGAAAACAAAAAGTATTGCGCAGTTCATTAGGTGTTTAAGTTTAGCCTCAAATTCTCCCAAGAGTCCGCCGCACCACAGACAGCCATAGTCGAAGTGGGGGAACAGTTTCGGACCTTGCTGTGTGATGCGTAGCAGAAAAAGGAATGATAAAAAGATGAAGAGAGAAAAAAAGGTTTTCTAGGTATGATTTGTCGCTGGAGTCGGAAAGGAAATTAGTGTTTAAGTCACCGGAAATATTTATAAAAATGTTCTTATATTAAATAGAATATTTGATGTATCGATGTAATTTATTGAATCCTTAGTAATTCACAGTCTTTGAACTAGTTAAGCCCTGAGTGTCCTTAAAATTTGTCATAACATATAAAATTTATAATTTAATATTTTTTTTTAAAGTTCATTATTTAATAATATAAGAACATTTGGCTAGCCCAAAACAGGGACAGAAATTTTATATATCAGTTTCTATTAATTTTGATAGATAACATTTCACATCCTATTTGTTCAGCTTCTATAGTAAATAAACATTTTAAGGACTAGAACGGAGATCATAGACAACTGGCATGTCTCTAATGAAGAAACATACTCGGATCACAGGTATATCAGATTTGATATATCTGACAGAATACAACATGATGTGGAATATAGAGATCCCAAACGTACAGACTGGGCATCCTATAGTTCTAACTTGGAGGCGGCTGTTAAATGCTGCCCCAAAATTATCCACAATACATGGCAATTGGAATGTTTAAATACTTCAATTACTGATGCTATGACTAGATCATATCTGGCCAGTTATAAAGCTAAAAAAACCATAACCAACAGGAAAGTGTCCTGGTGGAATGGTACTCTAACAAAGCAAAGAACACTCACAAGGAGATTGTTCAATGCTGCTAAAACATTTGGCAATTGGGATACCTACAGGAAAGCTCTTACTGAGTATCACAAATCTGTCAGGAAAGCCAAAATAAAAGCCTGGGAAAGGTTTGTCTGGAGGTTGATAACATTCCGGCGGTATGTAAAGTAAACAAAATACTGTCAAAATAAACCAACACAGGCACGATGGGAACACTCAAACATGAGTGTTGTAGCAAAAGCTCATTTCCCAAGTTGTTTTACGACAGTAACGGAACCTCTTGACCCCAATACACAGGATCGTGGTACTGGTGCACGTATGTGGGATCTTGCAAGAAGAGTGATTACAAACAGCAGATTTGAATAGGCAGTGAATTCATTCTATCCTTTTAAATCTGCTGGAACTGATGAGATCTTTCCAGAACTGCTGCAGTACAGTCCTGCACTGGGATATCTACCATGCAGATGAAGGATATCCAAGGTGCGATACATTCCAAAACCAGGAAAAGAGTCTTACAAAGACCCCAAGGCGTTTAGGCCAATATGTCTGTCATCTTTCATAATGAAGACATTAGAAAAGATACTTGACAGACATATTAGGGAACATATATTGGCTACTAGCCCAATACACTCAAAGCAATATGCCTACCAACGAGGGAAATCCTGTGAGGTGGCGCTTCATAACTCGGTAACAAGAATAAAGAAATCCTTAGAACTCCCTACAACATCATAAATGATGCACTAAGGAAAAAAGATATAGACTCTATGTCCTCTAGATGGATTGGGAGAATGCTGGAGGACAGAGTCCTAAAATCAGAAATAGGGCACAAGGAACTGTGGATTAAACCCTGTGGTGGTTGTCCACAGGGAGGTGTGCTCTCTCCGCTACTGTCGTGCTTTGTGGCTGACTCATTGTTGGAAGCCCTAAACACTGCAGGCATTTATGCGCAAGGATATGCTGACGATATTGCTATCCTAATAGGAGGAAAGCATCAGAGTGTCCTCTCTGATCTCCTCAATATAGTGTCTAATATTCTTAGGAATTAGTGCAGGATTAATGGACTGAGCATCTACCCTAGGAAAATCAATGTGTGCATCTTCACTAAGAAGAAGAAGGTATTTATCAAAATGCCGGAAATCAATGGTATCCAACTGACATTGAGCGAGGAAGTTAAACACCTTGGAGTCATCTTGGACCAAAAACTGTCATGGACTAAACACGTTCAGAACGTGACAAGTAAAGCCCTCAAATGCCTATGGGCCTGTAAAAGAGCGATAGGAAAGAGTTGGAGACTCAAACCAAAAATGGTATACTGGCTGTACACAACGACAGTCAGACCTATCATACTATACTCAGCTCTGCTATGGTGGCACAAAGCAAAGACTGTAGCCAACTCATCCTCATTAGGAAAGATTCAAAGGCTTGCATGTACAATGATGGGCACGACACCGACGGCCGCCATGGAGGTAATGCTGAACATGCCTCCGCTGCAGCTGGAGGTGGAGGCTCGGGCAACAAACACATTGTACAGGATAAGCAAGTCAACTTACTGCTCACCAGTCCCCTGCCAAGGAGGACACACTACTGCTGAACAGGATTGGAGGTGAAGGAGTGCTAGCTATGCACTCGGACACTCTAATCCGAGAATATCAGGACCGAAAATATAAGGTTGGGATAGACAGCAGCAGACAACACAAACCAAATAATGGTATTAATTGCTATACAGATAGCTCTCTAACAGCCTTCGGCTCTGGAGCAGGCATCTATAGCAAAGACAATAAAGAAAAAATTTCTATACCACTTGGCAGACATGCTTCAGTATTTCAATCCGAGATACTGGCAATCTGCCATTGCGCACAGAACCTACTGCGAAGCAATGTGACTGGGAAAAAGATTACCATCTATACAGACAGTCAGGCAGCAATAGGTGCTATTAACAACTATTATGTTTATTCAAACGTCGTTAAGGAATGCAACATAGCACTTAACAAACTAACTGAGCACAATAGAGTAGCAATGGAGTGGGTGCCAGGTCACTCTGGCATACCAGGCAGCGAGGAGGCTGACGAGCTAGCCAGATTGGGCTCAGATACCATTCCTGTAACTCCCGAGCCTGTCTGTGGAATCAGCCTTAGCACTGCCAAGGGTAGGATCAGGGAGATCTATGGGAACAAATTTAGTAATTACTGGACCGACAAGAAACAGCGACATTCGAAGCTGTTCCTTAAAGGTCCATGTGAAAAAAGAAGCCAACTGCTACTGAATATGGACAGAGAAGCCCTTAAAAAACTTACAGCAATCTATACAGGTCACTGTAAGCTAAATTACCATATGTTCAATCTCCGAGTCATGACGAATCCGCTATGCAGATTCTGTTAGGAGGAGAATGAAACGGCCTTTCACATCGTGTGTAGATGTGATAGATTCATAAGGCTGAGACTGGTTGTATTTGGGGAAGAACGAATGGATCTCCCCAGTAGCTATGAGTCGGTTAATCCAACCAGCCTACTTAGATACGCGGAAGCGACAAGAATAACATTTTAATTAAAAACAACTTGCTGAAATTGGATCACAATGGACCCATTAGGGGTCGACGTGCTCAGGGCCAACACTATAAAAAAAAAAATAAACATTTTTATTGTTGTTTTTACATTTGAAGGCAAATAAAAAAATACTTATTAACAATACGGTAATATCATTCACTATTAGTAAAATGAAAATTAAGAAATAGATGATTCAGATAACTACTTATTATTGAAAGTGGTGGAAGTAAAAAAGTAAAGCTTTTAGATATCGATACATAACTAAAAGTACTATAAAGGCAGTTATAGATTAATATGAATTTTTTATTTAGGAGAGAAACACTTCATTTTCATATAAAAGCTTGCTGCCCAATTACATTGGGTTGCTATACACACAGTATACTTGTTAATCCGTTGGACAATAGATAAACTTATATATAAATATACAGAAGTGGTTAGTTTATATGAGTATAACAAATTTATATATATATATATATATATATATATATATATATATATATTTCCTTTCATTGTTCATGGTTTTTTTTTTTGCTTATTTTTTAACATTTAATTTCCCTTTCTCTCACTTCTCTCTATCCCTCTTTATACACCTCTCCTATACACAATATTAAGATGCTAA